GTGGCACAGCACACTGGCACACGCCGTGGCACACCAGCACATGGCACAGCACACTGGGACACACTGTGGCACACGGGCACGTGGCACGGCACACCAGCACACGCCGTGGCACATGGGCACGTGGCTCAGCACGCAGCAAGCAGCAGCTCCGTGGCCAGCCAGAGCCCTCCGGCAGGACGTACCCCCACAGCAGGACGTGCCCCCCCAGTGGGACGTGCCCCCACGGTGGGTGTCCCCCCGGGTACGTACCGTAGGGCGGTCTGGCGGGCCGAGCGGGCCAGGCTGCTGGCGAAGGGGGCGGGCAGGGCGCTGGGGTGCTGCAGATCCTCGATGGACCTGCTCCAGGCGCGCAGCTTCTCCAGCGCGCCGTCCTCGCCGCCTTCCAGGCCCTCAAAATCCAACCTGGAGGGGGGGGGGACACACGCGTGCGAGGGCGGGGGGGCACAAGGCTTTGGCAAGGGGGCACAAGGCTTTGGCAAGGGGGCACACAGAGGCAAGCGCTGAGGCAGGGGGCAGGGGGGCAGCGGGGCAGGGACAGGCGCGAAGGTGGCTCTGGGACCCTCAGGGTGGGCAGGAGGGGGCTGAGCATCCCTTGTCCTTCGGGCCCCCACGGCAAGTGGGTCCCCCCTGTGGTGTCCCAGGGATGATAAGGGACCCAACCAGCATTGGCTGCCCACAGCAGGGGGCTGCTACAGGGACCGGGGACCCCCCCAAACCCCAGGGTCCCCCCGACCCCACTCACATGACGGCGCACTGGGCGAAGGACAGGTAGTTCACCAGCACGTCCAGCCCCTTGTTCTCGTTGTTGAGGAACTCCCGCACCCACCTGCGGCACCAGGAACCCATCAGGGCCCGCAGGGGTCGGGACCCCCCCCGGCACGACCCCCTCCACCACAGGGATCCCCGTCGTGGCGCAGGGACGGTGAGGGGGGTGGGACACCCCGGGGCTGCCGTGGCAGTTGCAGCCCCTGTGCTATCGCCGGTGCCAGCACCAGTACCGGGTTATCTGTGGGCTGCAGGGCGGGGAGGGCTCGGCGCGGGCGGGAAACAGAGGTGGGTGCCGGGGCTGCTGCACCCCCACCCCCACCCTGGGAACCCCGCGGTGGGGGGGTTTCGGGGTGCCCCGACGCCTGGGGGGAGGGTGTCGGGGTGCACATGTGAGGTGCTGTGCCCAGGGGCAGGGAGGGGTGTGGAAAGGGGTGGGGGTGCACGGAGTGGGGTGCGCGGGCTGGGGGCTTCACCCAGGAGCGCCGGGGGTCCCCCCACGCCTGCCCACGGCCCTGCGTCAGGGAGCCGGGGGGGCCGCAGCTGCCCCTTTCCTGCCGCCGCCAGCCCCTCGCCCCAGCCCGTTTCCTGTCTCCGGCTGCTGCTATTTTGGGTCCGTGGGCAGGGACGAGCGGGGCCGGCGGCGGGGAAGAGCCCAGCACGTGCACGAGCCGCCCCGGGCACGCGGGCACGACCGGGCACCCGCCGCTGACGGCCCCGACACCCCCGGGACCGCCCCGTCCCTCCCGCCGCCCCGCGCTGCCCCCGGGGCACCCTGGGGAGGATCGGGGTGTCACCGGCTCGGGGACGGTGCCGACCGAGCCCTGAGGTGCCAGGAGGAGCCAGGCGGGATCTGGCCACGCTGCCTCGTCCAGGGCGTCATCCCCGGCCCATCCGCCCCGGCATCCGCCCCCGGGACCTGCCCGCGGGCCGGGGCAGGAACCGGCCCAGTTCCTGCAGCGCCTCCGGCTTCCCTTGCAGCTGTGCGGGGCTGGTGACGGGACCCCAGAGCCCCCCCGCGTCCCTGCACCCCACCCTGGGACCCTGCACCCCACCTGGGACTCTGCACCCTCCCCCAGGACCCCACACCCCACACTAGGACCCCACAGCCCCTCCCTGGGACCCCCCACTCACCCGATGTGGTTCGTCCTCAGGCTGATCTCCAGCTCACGTAGCACTTTGGTCGACTCCTGAACCCTCCTCCTGAACTTCTGGGGGCAGAGCAAGGCTGAGCTGTGCCCCCTCAGAGCCCCCCAGACCCCCGGGCCCCTCCCAGGCCCCCCCGGTCCCTCACCTTCCGAGTGACACCTGGCTCCAGGAAGCTGCGCAGTTTCTGGATGTAGGCGTGGGGGGGGCTCTTCACCTGGAACCGCTCCTGGAGGGGACGAGGGGGGGCGTTGGTGACACTGGGACAGAGGCACAGCTCACCCAGACCCCCCCCCAGGATGCCTGGGACCCTTCAGCCCCCACCTGGTCACAGATGAGGTCCCACTTCTTCTCGTTGTCGTACTGGCGCAGGAGCCGGGCTTTGTCCGGGGGCAGGTTCATGGAGCTCTGGGGGCAGAGCGGAGGTGTCACCCTGGGGACACAGGGACACTGTGCCCCCCGGGGGCACCCAGACCCAAAAAGCACCCACAACGCAGCCAGGGTCCCCCTTAAGGGCACTCAGGCCCATGGCACAACCAGGGTCACCGGCACTGGTGGGCACAGATGTGGCACAGGGACAGCAGTGCCAGCAGTGCCAACAGGGCCACGTGCCAGCTTGCGGGCAGCACCAAATCTCCTCATCCCCGACGTGTCCTTCCTGTCTGCACCCGCTTCCGTGCGGCAACCGCAGCCTCCGCTCCCGACCGCGGCGAGGTCGGGCACCGGTGCCGGCTCACCAGGACACCGGGCACGAGACTTGGCACTGGTGACAGCTCACCAGGACACCGGGCACGAGACCTGGCATCGGTCCCAGTTCACTGAGGCACTGGGCACAAGGCCAGGTACCGGTGCTGGCTCACCAGGACACCGGGAAGCCCCACGGGGGACCCCAGGACCCACAGTGCAGGATGTGGCACAGGGGACACAAAGGGAGTGTCCCAGGGGGTACCGGGGATGCCGGATGGCCGCGGGATTGGGGCAGTGCCACCCCCGCGGGAGATGCCGTCACAGCACACGATGCCATCCCGGTGGGCGATGCCACCCCCGTGAGTGATGTCACCCCGGTGACGCAGGTCCGGGCAGCCCCGTTATCGGGAGCCGGTCACTGCCACCGCTCCACCCGCCCCGTGGCAGCTAAAATTATCCCTCCCCTGCTCATCCCGATCCCACAAAGCCGCAGGAAACCGGGATACAGAGACTGGGCGAGACCGAACACCCCTGGGCAGGGGTCCCGCGGGCCCACGGGGATGTCACCGCCAGCACGGGGCCCCCCAAAACTGCCCCCAAAAGGGGCACCGTTCCCTCCCCAAAGGTCTCCGTTTATTCCCCCCGGGCCACAGGCGAAATCCCAGGGCCCTCCCGGAGACGGAGGCGGAAGGGACACACGGAGACCCCGGGTGGGGTCTCGGGGGCATCGGGGGGGCACCGGGGGGCTTTGAAGCGCAGCCGCCCGCCCCGGCGTTCCCGCCGCTCGGTTTCCTGCCTTTGTGGTGGGAGCGCGGCCGCTCCCGGCCGGGCACTTCCTCCGCCGCCGCCCCCACCGGGAGCCCCCACGGCTGTCCCGGGGGCCGAACCCCCCCCGGGAACGGCGGTACCGGGGCTGGAGCGCATCCTGGGGCTGGGGGGCACCGGGGCGGATCCTCCCGTCCGGGGGCCGCCGGAGCTCCATCACATGATGGAATATTTTTCCACCCCCGGCAGCAGTCGGGACGGCACCGGGCGCCGCCGACGGGCGCGGGGGACATTTTGGGAGGTGAGGGGGGGTGCAACAACCCTCCGAACTGAGCCCCTCCCCGGTATCGGTGTCCCCCCCCGCCACCGGCCCCGCGGGGACCGACGGCCGCATCCGCCCCGCGTGGGATGCGGGACGGACAGCGGCGCCGCGGGCGGGAGCCGCTCGGTCACCGGCGGGACGCGCCCACGCCGGCGGTGCCGGTGCCCCCCGATGCCCCCCCCGATGCCCTCCGGTTTCGGCTTCCAGAGCCCCGTGGGACCACACGGCATTTCCTGCCTGGCCGCGGCTTCCGCTGGCGGCGGCCCCCACCGGGACGGCGGGGCCGGGCGTCGGGGACCGGGGGGCACCGGTGTCACCGGTCACGGTGTGTCTCCCCCGCCAAACAAAGCCGGCGACGCGGAGGGGCCACCGGGACGGCCCGCGCCGCGAGCCCGGCGCCGGTGGGTTCCCTCCCGCAGTATTGGGGGTCCCGATGGCACCGGTGGCACGGGGTGGGGACGGGGCACTGCCGAGCCACGTCCCGGGGACGCGGTGGCACCGGCGGGCTGGGCCGGTGACCGCGGCGGGGTGGCCACCGCCCCGTCCGTGACAACGGGCCGGGGACCGCGCGGGGGACCCGTGCTCACCGGGAACCCCCGCACCTACCGGGAACCCCCGCCTCCACCGGGAATCGGCACCCAAGGGGGAACCCCAGCCCTGGGGACCCCCGCAACCAGGGGGACCCGCCTCCCGCAGCCCCGCTCGCCGCCCCGACGGGACTTTCCCGGTTCACAAAGTCCCCGGGGCCTCAGGGGGCCCGCCGGTGGCACCGGGAGTGGCGTCACCCCCCGGGGCTGTCCCGGGCGGGGTATTCCCCACGGCCCCGAGGCCACTGCCCATCCCCGCGGGCACCAGCGCTCCCCGCCCGTCCCCGGTGGCTCCCGGCGCCAGTGTCGTCCCGGCGGTGCCCGGTGCCTGCCCCGTGGCCCGGGTGGGCGCATCGGGAGGGGTCCTGGGAAGGGGCGGACCAGGGGGGCGCAGCGGGACCCGGAGGGGGCGCGGGGACGGAGTAGGGTGGAAGCGCACCGCGGGGGCGCACCGGGAACCGGAGGAGCCCACTGGTAACCGCGGGGGGGAGCGGCGGGAGTCGGCCTCTCACCAGCACCAGCGCGAAGCGCTCCTCCAGCTCGCAGGGCTCCGGCATCGGCATCTTGCCCGGGGCGAACAGTCCGGGCCCCCCCGGGTGGCCTGCCGCCGTTCCGGGGCCCCGGGGCAGTGCCTCCCCGTCCGCGCTCTCCACGTTCCCCATCCCCGGCCCAGGCACCGGGGGGCGGCGGGGGAGGCTCAGCCCGTCGTGTCCGGCGCTGCCGCCGCCGCCGCCTCCCGGTCCCGCCCCCCCCGCCCCGCCTGGTCCCTCCCGGTCCCGCCCGGTCCCGGTCCCGCCCCCGCCGCTGCCGGTCCCGGCGCCGCCGCCAGGGGGCGCCCCGGGGTGCGGCCGCGCCACCGCGGGGGGGCTCGCGAAGGCCCCCGCAGCGAACGGAGCGCTCCCATTGGCCAGATCCGCGCCCGCGGCAGCCAATCAGCGTCGCGTTCGCGCTCTGCGGGGCGGGGCTCGGCGCGGCCCAACGGCGACGCTCGGGCGCGGCCCGGGCGGTAACGGCGGCGCGCGCCGGGCCCCGCCCCCGGGGCCCGCGAAAACCAATGGGACGAGGCGAAGGGCGGGACCAGGAGGGGGCTCAGCCAATCGGCGGCGCGGGGCGGTGCGCGGCGCTCGAGGCCTGGCACGGGCGGCGGACGCGGCGCAGGTGCGGGCGGGGGGCGCGGGACGGGGGGGCCCGGACCGGGACGGGGGGGCCAGAGAAGGGTCTGGGAGGTCCGAGGGGGCTGCGGAGCCAGGGAACCCCCCTAAAGCACCCCTCTCAGGGCTATCCGGGGGGTCCCGCACCCCCCAGGCCCCGCGGCAGAGGGGGCGCGCGCGGATCGGGCCCTGGTGGGGCTCCGCCCGGTTCTACCGTGGGGGATCGGAGGGAATCGGGGCTGGGGGAGCGGGGGGAGGAGGGGAAGCGGCGGGGCAGCGCCTGGGCCGGGTGCAGAAAGCCGCGGGTAAAGGTCGCTCGGGCCCGAGCG